TCACTTGGCCAGGGACCTATGGAAGGTGCATCCCATAAATCCCTAGCACTGGTGCAGGAGTAAAAACTGGAGTTAAAAGTTAAAACCGGAGACTGATGCAACATTCTGCTCTACAAAAAAAAACCAGGGCTCCCATTATGGAAAGTCTAAATGAGAGCAAAGATATTATAAATTGCTACTAAACTGCCAAGACACAGAATATTTATATTAGCAAGACTCACAGAAGCAGCTGTATATTGAGTTATACATATTTCATGGCCTATTATCTACAAAAGCCAAGAAATTCATACAGGCAAATCCACCCAGCAAGGCAGAGCTTGAGGTGGCAGACAGATCCTCAATCCTCTAAGAGAGAACCAAGCTCTTGTTTCAGTTTTAAGAGTCACCTCTCAAACTCACATCACCTTCCCACTTAACATTCATCCAACTCCCAAAACTCTGAGATTCTTTCTTCTCCACAAAATGGTTGCAGAGTTGCACCAAAACACCACAAAATTAACGCAGAAGCAAAATTCTCTAGACTATAGAATTAAAAAAAAAAATAAAAAAAAAATCTGACAGGCACACAGAGCTCCTGGCAGTCAGTATTTAAGGTCAGTCCTTTTGTTTCTCCTCCATGGACAAATGAGATCATGTCCTGTTTCCTGCCCCTTCAGAAGCAGTTTCTAGTCTGAGCAGAGCTCTTGAAGATGAGACACCAAGCAGGCCAGGTGCCTCACTGCACAAGGAATAAAACTATTAAAAATCACAGCCTCGTTCCTTCTGTTGGAAATACTGCTGGAATACACCTATTTAACCCCAATAATCAGGACAACAAGGAGAAAAATACTTGAAAATACTGACTTCAAGACATTCCACCAAAGAATATATTTACAGAACATCCACGTGAAACATAAAAAGGAAGAAAAACCATGATGCTCCATTCGGGGCTCAGCACCACGCTCTGGTGCACGTCCCCTTTATCAGGAAGAAGGCCCAAACTATTATATTTTAGCCTGAAAATTATTTTTTAGCCTAAAAATCTTCAATCCCTGCATCTCTGGATGATGCCCACTGCAGAGCAGCTGCCTGAATTTCAGTCGTGTCATCTCAGCACGCTCCCCCATCCTCACGGAGAGCGCACCCCGACCCCGGGAGCACAAACAATGCCTTCCTTCACTCACCCCGCACCAAACCACCCCCAGAGCCGCCTTTTACCGTAGGCGAGGAATCAGAGAGGCCGGGATGCGGATCCCAAGCTGGAAAAGCGAGGCGCTCTGCCTCTACACCCGCAGGCCGGGGCTGCGCTCCCCCCGCGCTCCTGCAGAGGAATCACAG